GCAGGTATTTTTCAAATGTTAACAAAATTGGTGTAAATTCAGGCCATTTCCTCAACTTTTAATTTTATCAAAGTATTTAAATAAGTCTTTACAATAGCTTCAAAAATTAATACGAATCAAGTGTAAAGAGAATAGTAATATTTATCTGAAGGAAAGGAGGAGGAAAAAAGAAGAAAATGATGTATGAAGAGAGGAAAAGAAAAATAATGAAAGAGAGATATCAAGCACTCCTATACATGTACAACTAGCAATAGGTAGCTATTTGGTTTGCTACCAGTCTAAAAAACACAGAAAAAGAAAATAATAATATTAATGTAAAAAGTAGTACTATTCTAAATGAGCATGTAAATATTATTTGGTTTCATCTTTTTAACTTATGGGTATGCAAACTCCACTTACTGTTAAAAAGACATCATGAAGTTTGTAAACAGAATCCATTAATGGAAAGTTAACTTAAAACAATGTCTTAATTAATTAATTAATTAATTTATTTATTTATTTAGTTTTAGACAGAAAGGAAGGGAGGGAGGAAGAGAAGAACACAAACATCAATGCGTGGTTGCCTCTCATGCGCACCTCACTGGGACCTGGCACATAATTAAGGCATGTGTCCTGACTGGAAATTGAACCAATGACACTTTGGCCCACAGGCCTGTGCTCAATCCACTGAGCCACACCAGCTAGGGCACTAATGCCCTTATTACAGAAAACTTTGCAGTAATAAAACCAGAGCTGAATTTTCTTTCAATTAGTCAAAATAGATATAGTGCTCAAGTTTCACAATATTTTAGGGATCCATGAGAATCTGTTAATTTTAATTTCCATTAAAATCAAATCAGAAGAAACAAATATAATAATAGTAAATAATAATGAATCCAGCCTGAATTATATTCATTTTATACCAACATCATCCCAAACTATGACTTTAATTTTTTTAATGGAGAAGGGAGCCAAAGAAGACAAAAGTGCCTGGGGCTAACAAAAATTATAAATCAGGCATAAATGAAATAATATGACAAATTTCATGATATGTGGAATGATAGCTAAGGTATTTCAAAAAATTAAACATACTGTACTGTATGTATAAAAAGTTATATAGTATGTATACTGTATGTATAAAAAGTACACATACAACTTATGTGTGTACTGTACATGAATATATCTGCAAGATGCACAAGAAACTGAAAACATTGTTCGGCTTTGAGAGAGGAGCTGTATATCGGTGAGTAGGGACAAAAAGGAGTTTTTCAGTAAATTTCCTTTTGCACATGTTGAATTTTAAACCATGTGAATTTAATATCTATTAAAAATAGGTTTTTTAAAGATAGGTTTTCATAATATGAAGGCAATTTATCATTAGGAAGCATTTTTCCTTTGTCCAGCATCAAGTATATTCTTTCAAATTAATGAGCCATATAAATATAATGATTACTATCCAGATATGACATGCTCTTTTTAGAACTGAAACACAAGTATGGTATCTCTAACAGATTCCATATTTTGAGTACACACATCATAAGTGTGTCCTTATTATTCTGAAAGGCATTAAATTTCTTTTAAGAAAATTAGAAGATTAAAATAGTTTTTTGTATATACACATTGATTTTCCATTTGTTTGCTATTCTTTCCTTCCTATAAATTGAAATTTCCATCTTGTATCATTTTCATTCAGCCTGAAAAATATCCTTTTGTACTCCTTGTAGTACAGTCTGTTTGAATAAATTTCCTCAGCTTTCATTTGTCTGAAAATATCTTTATTTTGTCACATTAAAAATAATTTTACTGAATAAAGAGTTCAAGATTGATAGCTTCTTTATTTCTTTTAGCCCCTTAAAAATAGTACTGCATGGTCTTGTAGTCTCCATCCTTTCTGATGAAAAATATGCTTTCATTTGTATTATTGTCCTTCTGCATGTAATGCATCCTTTCTCTATGGTTTCTGTCAAGATTTTCTATTTTGGACTCTGATGTTTGTGAAGTTTGTGTGACTCTGATATGCCTAAATATGGTTTTCTTTGCATTTATCTTGCTTACTGCTCCCTGATCTTCTTGGAAATATAGGTCAAAGTTTTCCAATTATCATTAAAAATATTTCATTGCCACATTATAGTCTGATTTTTCTCTGGGGGGGTCCAATCCATATATATTAAATTGTATAATATTGTCTTATAAGTTCATAGGGGTTCTGTTCATTTTCTTTAGCATTTTTTATTTTTGTTCTTGAGACATACTTTGTTTCCCAACCCACTCTAATTGGCAAGATTCAGTCTCTCTATCTCTTCCAAGAATCTTGTTGGAACTTGACTGTAAGTTTTGTTAAAGTGCTACAAGAGTGGGCGTTTCTCTGGGTATGGCCTTTACCATAGAGCAGTGACTCAGCTTGATTCACATGTTGTTGGAAAGTGTTACAGAGGTGTATTCAGTATGTCTGGATATGTTTAACACCTCTGTTTGCTCTCACCTCTGAGAATTACCAAGCCTTGAATGGCTATGCCTGTGGTTGCCCAGTCCAGCTCTCCGGCAAGGACTTGGGGTAACCTTCTACATGACCTACATGAACTTGATGACCTCTAAACACTCCTTGTTTTAATGCCCTGTCACAGTTTCCAACCACCTCAAAAGTCCAGAAATTTAACCTCTGCCTCTTTATATAAGAGAGACTTCCATATTCTGATTGAACTCATAAGAACGATAATTTGCGTCCTGGCCAGTGTGGCTGTTTGTTGGAGCGTCGCCCCATAAACTGAAAGGTTGCAGGTTCAGTCCTTAGTCAGGACACATAACCTAGGTTGTTGGCTCAGTCCCAGTTCCAGTGCCTACAGGAGGCAGCCAAGTGATGTTTCTCTCTCACTTCAAAGTTTCTCTATCTCCCTCTGTCTCTTAAACCAATGCAAAAACGTCCTTGGGTGAGGATAAAATAATTTGCAGTAGCTTTCCCTGTTTTTGAGGACTGAGAACCTTTGGCCAGAAATCTAGTTGTTTGTTCTTTGTTATTTTGAGAGAAATTTGAGCTTGAAAGTTTACCCTAATTGTAACATATAGAGTTGAACTGAAGGTATATAGGCCTGGAAAGCAAGCAGTCTGATGGATAGCCCTAGCAATATAAAAATGATTTTTTGTCAGAAGCAGGAAACAGAAAAGAGTTAATTAATAAAAGAACACTAGGGAAGTGAAAAAGATTTGACAACAGCTAGATGCAGTTGGTGAGGAAAACAGAATATTAAACTGTAGTGTAAATGAAAATTACCCTGAGAGCTTAAGAAAAATGCATACATAGTCTATGTTCCCACTCCCCAAAATTTTGACTCAGGCCTAGAAACCATATTTTTAACACATCTCATTTCTGATTCTGGTTCAGGAAGCTGAGAATCATTCTTGGAGAAACCTAGAACATGGTATACTCTAATCATTTGAAACCATTAGTTTGACTCTGCTATATCAGAATTACTTAGCACTTTGCATATTCCAGTTACTGGCAAGGTTTGCTGTAGATATGAAGCCAACAGGAAAGGATGATGTCAAGATTTTAGGACTGAGAACCTTAGAGAAGAATAATGCTAGTAACCAAGATAAGGAACACAATAATAAGATGTGATATGGTAAGGAATGAAAGATGATGCAATTTTTTTGCTGTTGTAGATTGGACTTTTTTAAAGGGTGGAGGAGGATGACATAAAATACCAACCCTATGTCACGTATGGCTCTGAATAAGGCTGTGAATGAAGAGGATGAAAAATCTAAAGAGCCACCTTATTATTGATAAATACTAGATTGGAAGCTAAAATTAGTGTGTGTCAGCAATGGTCTTCCTCACACTGGAATCCAGCATTAAGATGACAGAGGAGGTATTACATTAATCTGTTACCCCTAAGCAGCTCAAGCCACTATTCTATCCACCCTACCTACAATAGTCCTTTAAAAACAGTTTTACTATAGATCCCACACTTGTCATTTGTAACACGCACTTCAGCATTCAAAATGTGTCCAATTGTTTATTTTGTTATCTCTATTTGAGATAACAGGAAACAGAACCTATTTGAACCTAAGTGCAGCAAAGATTACATCTTATTTGTCTACTTTCCAATAGTCATAATTTAGCACAGTGTTAAGCAAATAGAAATTCTAAACAATTTGTTAAGTTTTTTTTTTTTTTTTTAAAGAACAAGTATTAACTTTGGCTTCCGGTCAGGTTTTGTTGCTGTTTGTTATATCTGCTCAAGCCAAAATTCCATGTTAGTGATGTCAAAGTTAAAACAGGTGAGAGAGACACTATTCAAGATTGTCATACTAATGGGACAGAACTCGGAGATCTACTACCCACAAACAAAGAGCTAGAAGAGACTTAAAAAGTTGAAGTAGGGAGCATCATAGGACACTTGTGTTTACAAATTGAACATATTAAAAGGAAAAGTTAATTGTTTTCTTATCTGCATGACAGAAGGCAGTTCTACAACTTGGAACAAGGTGCCTCCCACTGAAACTGCAAATAGGGGTGCTATTGCCTTTGTTGATTGAATTTCAAAACGATGGCTCCCTGGTCCTGAACAGAGTCCTGGGTTGTAAAACTGACAAAAAAACTTTTTAAACGTTTATATCTCAAAGGGGCAGATAATGAGTTTACGAGGACAAGTTTTCTAAAGTTAATGACCTGAGGAAAGGAAGGTCAAGTCCTAGAAGACGGGAAGAAACTTGTCTAACACTCACAACCAGGAACTGAGAGGAAAGTCAAGCCAGTCTTAAATCAATGATTAAGCTCTGCAGTTCTGCACCAAGGAATTCAAATTATGAGCTCGCGATCTCTCACAGTTTCCTTGTGTAAACAGTTGCTGAACATTTCACACTAACCTTTCTGTTGTTGTTGTTTACTTTTTTTGTTTATGACCTATCCATTGACCTCTACCCCTCTCCCGGCTGGGCACGTGCACAGAGGGCACTGCGCCCTGACGTCACCTCACGCGCCTGCCCTAGAAGTTAGCAACCGAAAGCGTCCGTAGTAGCAGTGGCTACAGAGATGTACGAACTTCCGGTTTCTCAGCCGCAGCCGCCCCTGCAACTGCAATCGTCTCTGCCACCTGCCGCGACCGGGTCTCTTCCCGGTAGTTGGTCAGTTCTTCCTCCTCGATCCCCATCGTGCCCATGGTCCCTCCTGAAGCCAGGACGGCGGGCCCGGCGGCTCCGGCGTGGTGAGAGGCTGGCCCGGGGACGATGAAGGCCCTGCACTGCAGCTGCTGCCCCCGTCGCCTTCTGGCCTCCGCCCTCCTGCTGTTGCTACTCCTACCAGGGCTAAGAGGGCCCTTGGCGGTACTGCTGCAGGCGGCAGAGGCCACTGCGGACTCCGGCCCTCGCGACCGTGGACCGCGGACTCTGTCCCCCCTACCGCCTGGCCCCACTGCCGCCCACTCCCCGGGCCACGCACGGGCAGAGGCCGCGGCGCAGCGGAGCCCGGAGGGTGTCAATGGCAGCAGCCCCAGGGCGGCGCCTGCAGCGGATGACCTAGCAGGGAAGGCGGGGGAAGAAGGCTCGGTGGGTGGCGCCGCTCTGACCCCCCACCCCACCGAGGAGCCCATGACCCAGCGGGCCCTGACCGTGTTGATGGTGGTGAGCGGCGTGGTGCTGGTGTACTTCGTCGTCAGGACTGTCAGGTGAGGCGAAGCCTCGATGGGCCGCCTGGTGACCTTCTAGCTTGGCAGCGTTCTGGGACCTGGCTTTGCCCTCTCTCCGCTCCCACTCTCTGGTGCCTGCCTGAGGGAGAGATGTGAAGATGTCTTAAAGGCCTGTGGTGCCTCTGGGAGAATTTAAACCACCAAGTAGTTGCTCCCTTTCATTTATAAATTATAAATTAGTAGCCCCCACCAAATTGCTCTACTTTGCCTCAAAGAACACACTTCCCTTAATCTTGTATTCAACCCCAATATCTTGTAATGCTTCTCTCTATATACTTTGTCATTTTGCCTATTAGAATGCAAACTTCTGAAGGGCAGGATTCCTATTTAGTAACATTTCTAAGTCCTAGAGTTCTTTGTACAATATCACCACTTAATTGGAAATTAATATTTAAGTGGTTTAATAGTACGTATTGCAGAAGAACTTGATGGTTATTTTATCTAATGTACTTTGTACAATATCTCCACTTAATAAGAAATCAATATTTATTTGAGTGGAGTAATATTGCTGAAGGATCTTATGGTTATTTTATAAAATATAAAAGAAGAAAATTTCTTCCTTAACCATGGTTTCTTAGCATTGGCCTTTAAACTACCCTCTCAGTAATTAAATTGTATGTTCCTATATTCCACCAGTTTTGACCTGGAAAAGTTATGATTTTGTATGGTTCAATCTGTGTCATACTCCTTATTAATCAGAAACATTTAGCATTTACCTTTCATGTCACAAAGTATTTCAGTGCAAAGTGTTATCAGCTGCATGGTAAGATGGAAACCTGATAATCTCTGCAGCAAAGGAAAAAAATATCATAAATATGATCCACTTTTAATATTAGAGCAAATGTTTAGTATCCTAACAAAACTATAAGTATTGATATATTGACTTTAAATTTACAAATATTTTAATTAGTGTATGGATCAATTTGATATTCCACATAAACCTTTCTAAAATGAATTCACCTATAAGTAATAATTCTGCCATTCAATAATTTATGACATAAAACACTTATAACATGTCATAAGATTATGACATAGACATTTTATTTTTTAGGGAGAGAAAAGAAGGGAGAGAGAGAATGTCAGTTTGTTGTTCCACTTAATTATGTATTCATTGTTTCATCCTTGCATGTACACTGATTGGGAATCACAGTCGAAATCCTGGCTTATGTGGACAACACTCTAACCAACTGAACTACCCAGCCTGGGCCAAAATGAACAGCTTTTAAAGCCTTACTATAGGATGCTTGATTGTGCGGTTATATAAATTTCAGATTTGGAACACATGTCACTTAAATTACACCTTTCCCTTTACCTATGAGGAAGATGACCCAGAAGTACAGTTCATTGTTTGCTTTGTTTGATATTTTTCCAATTAAAGTGCCTGTATCCTGACTAATGATAACCTTCTCATTAAGTAAACCAGATCATTATGTTGTAAGTAGTGTGTTAAGAATAAAAGTACATGATTGCCACTTATTTTTCTACTACTCTTAATGTCTTATCACGTAGAAAAAGAATTATATAGTCCAATTAGTGACATTTGTTATTATCAGTAACCTCCATTTGATGCATTCCTTTGTTACTGACACAGATTTGTTTATGGCATCATTCATGGTATTAAAATATTTCAACCATGTAATAGGATTGATTTGGAAAAACCTGTAATAAAGCCTCTTTAAGTGGGTTACTTGGGGACCCCCTCTGAAGAGCTGATATATAAAGCCAAGATGTCATTGTTAGAAGGAGCCAGCCAATAGGAGAGCTAAGGGAGTTTCCTTCTTTATAAAATGGAGTAGATGGTAGATTTGTGGGAATATACTGGTTTATTGTTTTCCAACCTTGATATTTTTTCCCATAACTACTAATCTTCTATTATTTCATACATTTCTTTAAATGTATTTATTTAAACTAAAGTTTCCTTTAAAAATCTGTTTATTATTTTATGAATGGGAAACCAACATCGATTCGTTTAAACAGCTGATTTTGAAAAGTACTGTGTAAACTACCGGTTCTGGATATACAAGGAACCCTGAGGAGGCAGGTGGAAGAGGGCTCTCTGAGACCTCTTCAGGTAATCTGCAAGATGAAAACTATTCTCAAAATAGTACATTCTCCTACAAGTTGATAGGGTACAAGAAGTTCGCTGATAGAGTTTCAAATTCCACATTACAACTAACTTTTAAGAAACTTCCTCTCGTTGAGTTTTGTTGTAGTAGCAAAAGAGAATAAACACTAGCCTCTGAAAAAGCTATTAAAATTCTCTTTTCTAAGTTCATGTCAATGTGAACCTAGATTTTCTTCATATCCTACAATCAAACAACACATTGTAAATGATGGAATGCAGAAGCAAATACAAAAATTTAGTTTTCTATTTTTTGTCATTTTCCATTTTCTGTCTCTTTCTATTTTCTATCTAGTTCTATCTGTTTAATATTAAAGGGATTTGAAAAAACCTAAGTCAATGCCATTTTTTTACAATTTTGGCTTTCATTTTGATCATATATTTTTCATGAGAAAATATGTTACCATGCAATGGTTTTTTTAATTAAATCTTTAAAATTTTCTTTATATTTAATTAACATGTTCAATATATCTATCCATATTCATATCTGTATCTCTCTATATATATGTTCTTTGGAGTCCTAAGTTTTAAGAGTGTAAAGGAAACCCAAGACCAAGTATTTGAGACTGACTGGTGTAAACTATTATTTGAGTTAAATACTATTGCTCATGAAAGCCAGCGAATCCAGACTCACTTTCTTTTAAAGGGGAAGTTTGGAAATGTTTGTGAGTTTATAAAGTCATATTTCCACCAAACTGAGACTTTATTCTTGACATAGAAGAAAATTGAAGCAAAAATCCTTTTTTTTTTCACTCTGTGATCGTTATTTAGTGCCATCTGTGTACAGTTGATGCTTGAACAACATTGGGGGTTAGGGATGTGGATCCCCATTTAGTGGAAAGTCTGGGCATGACTTTTAACTCCCCTAAAACGTGACTACTGTTTACTGGAAGTCTTACTGATAACATAGTCAATTAATACATATTTTATATATGTATTGTACACAATATTCTTACAATAAAGTAAGCTAAAACAAAGAAAATGTTTAGAAAATTATAATGAAGAGAAAATACATTTACAGTATATTTTTAAAAAATCTACATGTAAATAGAATTGCATAGTTCAAACTGTGTTGTTCAAGGATTCATAGTAGTTCCTATAAAGATACAGAGTAGCCTGCATATTACATTTTTTTGTAAATTATGGGTCTATGTTAAATTTTGGGGGTGTATACCTATGGGGTGGGCAAATGTCAGTTTACAGTTGTTTATATGGTTTTACATACTGTAAGCCTACTTTTGCGTACCCCCGTATATATAAATGTTATTGCCATTTATTTTCTTCTTTTTAAATTATATATTATTGATTATGCTATTATAGTTGTCCTGATTTTTCCCCTTTGTCTTCCCCTACCCAGCACCCACACTCCCTCAAGCAGTCCCCCCCACGATTGTTCATGTACATGGGTCATGCATATAACTTCTTCAGCTACTTCATTTCCTGTACTGTACTTTACATCCCCATGGCCATTCTGTAACTACCTAATTGTACTTCTTAAACCCCTCACCTCTTTACCCATTCCCCCACACCCTCCCATCTGGCAACCATCAAAGTGTTCTCTGTATCTATGATTCTATCTCTGTTCTTGTTTGCTTAGTTTGTTTTTTAAATCGAATCATTGATTGATTTGTATTTTTTGCCATTTTATTGTTTCTAGTTTTAATTTTTTTTTCTTAGATAAGTCCCTTTAACATTTCATATAATAATGATTTGGTGATGAGGAACTCCTTTAACTTTACCTTATCTGGGAAGCACTTTATCTGCCCTTCCATCCTAAATGATAGCTTTGCTGGATAGAGTTCACTCTTGGATGTAGGTTCTGGCCTTTCGTGACTTTAAATACTTCTTTCCAGCTCCTTCTTGCCTATAAGGTTTCTTTGAAAAATCAGCTAATAGTCTTATGGGAACTCCCCTGTAGGTCACTAACGTCTTCTCTCTTGCTGCTTTTAAGACTCACTCTTTATGTTTAATCTTTGACATTTTAATTATGATGTGTCTTGGGGTGGGCCTCTTTGCATCCATCTTGTTATGGGACTGTTTGTGCTTCCTGGACTTGCATGTCTATTTCCTTCACCAAATTAGGGAAGTTTTCTTTCATTTTTTTCAAATAGATTTCCAATGTCTTGCTCTATTTCTTCTCCTTCTGGCACCCCTATGATGTGAATGTTGGACCTCTTGAAGTTGTCCCAGAGGCTGCTTATACTATGCTAATTTTTTTGGATTCTTTTTTCTTCTTGTTCTGATTGGTTGTTTTTTGCTTCCTTATGTTCCCTATCATTGATTTGATTCTCAGTTTCATTCATTCTTTTGTTGTTTCTCTGTAAATTGTTCTTTATTTCAGTTAGTGTATCTTTAGTTCAGTTAGTGTATCTTTTGTTTCTGACTGGATCATTTCTTATGCTGTTGAGGTCTTCACTAAGTTCCTTAAGCATCCTTATAACTAGTGTTTTGAGCTCTCATCTGGTAGATTGCTTATCTCCATTTCATTTATCTTTTTTTCTGGAGTTTTGATCGTTCTTTTAATAGGGCCATGTTTCTATGTCTCCTCATTTTGGCAGCCTCCCTGTGTTTTTTTCTATGTATTAGGTAGAGCTGCTTTGACTCCATGTCTTGGTATTGTGGCTTAATATAGTAGGTGTCCTGTAGGGTCCAGTGGCACGGCCTCCCTATCACCCAAGCTGGGTACTCAAGGTGTACCCTTTGTATTGGCTGAATACACCTTCTTCTGTACACCCTCCTCTTTTAGCTGAGCCTTGGTTGCTGTTGGCAGATCAATGGGAGGGATTTACCCAGGTCAGTCATCTGCAAGGACTGGCTGTGATCACTTATCACCAACCTCTGCTCTCTGTGAAGGGGC